TAGTTTGAATTGACCCTGAATGAGAAAGTACTTTGAGGTTTTGTACTTAACTCGATTAAGTACGAATTCAATTGTTAAGATCCTGTCTTTGTACAGAAAAATTCATGATATTCCGTTTGTAAAATCTGAGAAGACACTTGACCCGAAAATATTCAAATAATGAGTAAATACTTGAAGAGTAATTTATCGGGGGTATTCTGCTGTCAGAATTGTTCGAAAGGACTGAAGTAAATGATAATATTGAATAAAATAATAAGACCGTATGGAAGGAAAAGATTGAAGTACTGTAGATCTGTAAAATGACCAAAATACCCCTGTAATGAAAATGACCCAAGAATATCACCAAGCTCAGGAATGATTGAATATCCTCGAGCTCTGAAATGAATGGAATAAAACTGAACATCAAAATTACCAAAATACCTTATGGCCTAAATTAAGTAAATGTCTTGGGATTAAGGAATCCAAGTAAGCATAGGTATTGGACTACCTTTAAAGGTAATGGAAAATAATTTAAGTAAGCCAATCAACTTTAATGATATGTCAGTACCTGAACGGCATAGATATTACTTGAATGCGTATTCGTCTACTCAAGTTTAGCTCGATGATAATTTTGGAAGTATTCAGCTCAGCTCAACCCTATATCGCATTCAGTATTAAGAATTGGGCGTTTGTTCGACAAATCAACCAAGAAGACCAAATTGAATGGATCTGAAGTACAATATATATCTGAAATACAGGAACGTTTGTATTACTCTAGAAAATCCCGAAGTAACTGGAATGGACTTGAATGCTAAATAAATTAAGTAACCACAAGGACTGAGGATTGAATAAGTGAGTTGGATGAATCTGGAAATGTTAATGGACATATATGATGTAATGTTCTTATGGATTATGAATTACAAAATCAAGTACGTCAGTATTTAATGATATGGTGAAAGTGTGAACATGAAATAAAGACATTGGAAGATTTATTCAACGTTAATTTCGAAAATGATATATGAACAAGAATTTGTGGTATTAAAGAGTAAATACCCTGGAAGGAAAATGAATTGACCAGTCGACATAGATTGTTAAGGTTTTGAATCTTCGTTCTCAAGTTATTCGATTATTCAATCAATTGACATGGATGTAAAGGATTCTGAATACCCTTCTGATTACGTACAACTTCTGAAAACTGTCTGAATAAGATAATATCCTGATATTTCACATTCTGAATAACTGATGATTCTGTCAGTTAATGAACTCTTCTAATAGTGACTCTAAATTTCGATATCCTATCGGTATACTGAAGATTCATGTTTTTCTACATGTTAAGATTATCCAATACCTCTGAATAATATCTGTAAACTCTGGCGTGTTCCCTAGTCATATAAATATTTTATCTGATTTCTGACTTGAATTCTGTTCTGATACATTACCTGAATTCTGTTCTGATTTCTGATCTGGATTCTGTTCTGATATCTGATCTGAATTCTGTTTTGATTTTTGATATCTCCGTTTACCGACGGAGAAATGTTTTATCTGGGGGGTTTATTATTGGAGGAAGATTACTGCAGGCTCCTCGGCTGTGTGCTCAGGGCCTTACTGTTACTGGTTGTGCGGGGTGTATGGTTCCGGGGAACCTACACAAACAGATTGTGAAAGGATGGGGGTGTATATATATATGTTTTAAAAAAAAAAAAACTATACTAGTTTTATGGGAACACACTAGAAAACCTATTCTAAACTCCTGAACTCAATCATCCGAAATATTTATCTGAACTGAAAGCTCATTATCCGTTAGCACCTGAAATATCAGTAGGATCCCTGCTCAGTATAAAAATATGTAAATGTTCGAAAACAATAAGGAAATATATATTTATCTGTATCTGCACGTTCATCAGCATCATCTGGTAGTTCTGTATTACTGAGCTTTTCAAAGCTCACTCTATTACTCATCTTTTTAGGATAAAAGAATTGTACCAGTACATCTATAGACTTCAGTAAGGGAGTTCGTCCGGCGTTGTTGCAGAGTATGGTACATGTGATTAGGGGCATGTAATTGTATTTTGATTTATATACGAGTTTGGAAATCTGTTTTATTTTTAAATAGTGAAAACTGATTTTATAAGTTTACATGTTTTAATAAAAGTTTTAAATTTTCCGCTATTTTTACAGTGGGTCGCTTCGGTGGCCCTAATGTGACTTCTCGGATCGGATCGGGCTACCCGTATCGGTTTGGGGGGTTACAGTCTTTCTGGTGGGCTCGAATTGGGCTTTGACTTGAAAAATATTAGAATTGCCACCGATCACTTATATATAGTATATACATATATCAACGTCTAGAAACATCATTATCTGACAATGAGAGGAAGTAACAAATGCATTAGCCCTAATAGTTGAATCCTGCAAAATATATTATTTGATAAAAAAAATTCTATCCTTTTATCACGACGCATAAACACTTCCTAATCTTTAAAACTCCATCTTCAATTGTATAGTACTCTATTGATCAAAGGTACTCAATGGAATCATATTTCTCTTCAATTATAGTAAATGTCATACGTTGGCAAGTGTTCTAACAACTCTACATAATATCTTTATTTTGTTTTTGTCAATACCTGTAATTCCACATGATGCATTATTGATAATCAAAACAATACATGTAGATATCATTTCATATGTTATAAACAAATTCTGGTTAGGACACATATAGAAGGTACAATCATATATAATTGAGAATTCACTCATTGTTTACTTAAGAATTATCAATAGAAGCAACTAAAAGTTCACTATCACTATAGTATTTTACTATATTGACTTTACTAGATTTTCTTTTCTTTTCTTTTTAATTCGTAGCATCCATTTTGATCTTATTCTATAACTTATAACATTCAAATTTAATGTAATTTTGATCTACTCTTAGCTTACTATCAAATTTTCGTTCTTATGTCTTCTCATGATTATTACCAATATTTTGGTTTTGTCTCCCACTATTGACGATGTCTTCTTCTAGATAATCAGGTTTAGTCACTAAACCATCTAGTTATACAGTAAGGAAGTATAAACTTCATCTACTGTGATAGACTCGTGACTATTTTAAATTGTATCTAAGAAAGTTAAAAAAAAAAAAACATTAAGGCAATGTGTATATATATAAAAAAAACTAACCTAAATCCTTTATATCATATTTAAAGTGTATGGTCTTTAAATTTAAAATATTTTTTAAAAATAATTAAGTATAAAAAAAACATCTTATCTAACCTAAGTAAAGTTTCATCCAAATCTATTTGTGCAAGAATTGACTTTATTTTTAACTTGGACAAAATGGATTTTAAGATAAGATTATCCATTTGGTTCAAATTAAACTTTGATCAACTGGATTTTAATTTTACTAGGATAAAAATAAATATTTTAGTTTAATTTAATCATAAAATATTTAAATGTTAATAAAAATATAGTTTATTTTAATATAATAATAATGTATTAGTATAATTTTTTGTAAAACTTAGAAAATGTAATGGAAATATATCTATAAATTTGTATACAAATAATTAAAGTTTAATATTTAAATTTTAACTTATTAAAAAATATATCACAAAACAATTTAATGAACTTTATTTTCATATAATATATTCTCCTAATCAAATATAATTAAATAAAATAAATAATAAAGTTTAATATTACCAGTAATGTATTAGACAATTCTAAATTTCAAAAATTATATTCTTACAAGTAATCTTTTATTATGTGAACAAAACACACATATAATTATATAAGCATCCAACTATCTGGAATACAATTGCCAAAGGGCCCATAACCAGACTGATCCAATGAGTCATGGCGTGAACCACCTTTGATCCCTTCTTATAAATAAAATAAAGGGAAAATTACATATTTAGTCACTCATTTATTACTTTGATTCTGTTTAGTCTTTTAATTATTTTTTTTAAAATCATCATTAATGTTACGTTTTGGTTTCATTTTGATTATTCGTCGTTAAAAAATTAACATAAATATTAATGTGACATTTTTTATTTTTTCAATGATGATATGATATTTTCTTATGGAGACACGTGAATTTCACTATTAATTTCTTAATAGTGGATGACTAAAATAAATCAAAACGTAACATTAATGATAATTTAAAAAAAAGATAGTTGAGTAACCAAAATGGAAGAGTGCAAATATTTAGATTACTAAATAAGTAATTTACTCTAAAATAAATACAAGTAAATGACATGCACTCTTCAAATCTCTTTTCCGTACCTTATAATGCTTTAGGTCAGTCAACTCCAACTCCAAAGCCAAAGCTAATTATGAATTTAATCATTTATTCAATTAATTAATTAAAGCTTGATTGATGTTGTTGTTTCCTTCCTTCCTATTATTTGCGATAGGTCACGATGGCCAATCCATTATCCATCCCATACGCCATTTCTCCTTTGCAATACTTAATTAGATGGCAAGAGATTAGTCAGAAAATATAACATGAAACTTTGTCGTTTTCAGTTCTGATGAATGGAATCGAGTAATGTACGCTAATCATCGCTGACATTTTATTAACCTATGTTTTAGGGTTTATCTCTAAATTAAACATTATTCCTTCACTACCTAAGTACAATGCTCCAACGTAATTTACTTGTACATTTGCTATTTCTTTTTACCTCCATGCAAACTCGTTTTTTATTTTAATTTATTTTATATGTAAAAGAACGTGTATCTTATTAAATTTTTTAATAATATGAAATAATTATAAAATAATATATTTTTTAAAATTTAAATACTTATAATCTACTAATATAGTTATTTGAATTTGAATCTTTAATGAGTTCACATGTTGTACTAATCAGTCCTGCATGTGCAGATAATATTAATTCCTACATTTACAGGAATAGGAGACTTTTGTATTTTTGAATAATGATTAAAATATAATAATATTTTATGCACTTGATGCATATGAGTAGTAGGGTTGCAGGTGTATAAATAAAGAAAAGGTAGAAGTAGGAGAGAGATAAGAGAGTTTTGAGAGATGGGCAATAGTTTACGGTGTTGTTTGGCTTGTGTTCTTCCCTGTGGAGCTCTAGACCTCATCCGTATAGTCCATTTAAACGGCCACGTCGAAGAAATCACGCGTTCGGTCACCGCCGGTGAGATCCTCGACGCCAACCCTAATCACGTGTTGACCAAACCCAGCTCCCAAGGCGTTGTACGTAAAATTTTGATCGTCTCTCCTCAATCCCACCTCAAAAGAGGCGGCATCTACTTTTTGATCCCCGCGTCTTCGTTACCAGCCGATGAGAAGAAAAAGAGCCATGTACGCCATAGAAAGTCTTTCAGCAAGAGCAAAAAGTGCGATTATCATGACGCTTCGGATTCCAGTCATCGCTACCTACAAAATGACTGTATTTCGGAAACGAAACATTCCGGCCGCAGTAGCAGAGGTCGTCGGAACAGTCGTGAACGAGTATGGCAGCCTCATCTAATTTGCTTTTAATTCCCTTTTGTTCATTTACAACACCTGAAGATGGAAATTAAAAGTTATTCGTATTCTCAAGTTTAACAATACGTTCGAATCATTTCCAGATCATTAAGCCTTTAATTAATCATTTTTTTATTTCATTTGCAAAAGCTATAATAAATTTTTTATTCAATTAGTGTCGATAATTATAGGGATTGTATATAATAGACAGCAAGTTTACTTTTATATATATTGATTATTGGAATACGTATGATGAGCATAATTAGTTAAGAACACATTACTTGTTTTATCATTTTTTTTATTTTAAATATTTATATATTTTCTGACATAAAATACAGTTATTGGTTAAATTTTATATCTAACCTAAATTAGTTAGTTGACTCACTGATGAATTGATTGTCATTATTATGTTCGCAAAGCGACAAACCATTAGCAATAACAAGGGTAATCCTTTATGATTAAATTTGTAAAAAAAGACCCATGATGTTCGATTAGTTGCACGTCGGCGATTTTATTATTAGTAGGGACGTCCGAGGTAGCGCGGGTGTGGATGCTCCTCGTGTATCTTTGGTAAATAACTCATTTAATATATTTATAAAGAGTTAAATATCAATTAAACAAGCACGAATCAACTTCCCTTAGTGATTAAAGGGATCGTTGTTGTTCCTAGAGATAACGGATTCTAGCACCAATTATTGCAAATGTGACTCACCAATGACTGCAAAAGTGATTGAACGTTTATTGTCAAATGATTTAGATTACTTAGAGTAGATACTACTTTATAATCACCTTTAGTTTATTCAAAAAATAGCAATTAAACAAATATAAATTTATTTTTATAAAAATATAAAATATTTATCCTTCGAACTCTTCACAAGTTACAACATATGTGATATTATTATAACTGTTATCATATAAAAAAAATAAATTATTATAATATTTGAATTGATAAATTATAATATAAATTTAACACGAATTTAAAAAAAATCAAAAAGTAAATATTTTACATAATACTTAAATACAAACAATAACACTGGGCAAATAAAAATAATAATGAACAATTATAAAATTATACTTACGTTTATCCCATCACTCACAAAGACTTAGGTGGTGTTTGTTTTCACTGTACAACCTCTTCAAACCACTTATGTCTGCGTCGCGCAGACCACGCGCAGACATTAGACTTCGCAGACTGTTTGTTTTTTAGAAGACAGAAGCTCTTCAAATGTCTTCTTGGTGCAGACTTGGTTTTATGTCTTCAAAGGTCTTCAAACCTCTTCAAGAACAATTATAAAATATAGTTATTTATTAAAATAATTTTAAATAATTTAATAAGGTTATTTATTTTAAAATAATTTATTTTAAAATTTATTATAAAATAATTTACTTTAAATAAATTATTATAAATATAGATTGATTTATTTTAAAATAATTTATTTTAAATAATTTATTAGTATGAATTGATTTATTTTAAAATATGAATTGATTTATTTTAAATAATTTTATTAGTATGAATTGATTTATTTTAAAATATGGATTGATTTAGTTAAGAACACATTACTTGTTTTATCATTTTTTTTATTTTAAATATTTATATATTTTCTGACATAAAATACAGTTATTGGTTAAATTTTATATCTAACCCAAATTAGTTAGTTGACTCACTGATGAATTGATTGTCATTATTATGTTCGCAAAGCGACAAACCATTAGCAATAACAAGGGTAATCCTTTATGATTAAATTTGTAAAAAAAGACCCATGATGTTCGATTAGTTGCACGTCGGCGATTTTATTATTAGTAGGGACGTCCGAGGTAGCGCGGGTGTGGATGCTCCTCGTGTATCTTTGGTAAATAACTCATTTAATATATTTATAAAAAGTTAAATATCAATTAAAGAAGCACGAATCAACTTCTCTTAGTGATTAAATGGATCGTTGTTGTTCCTAGAGATAACGAGTTCTAGCACTAATGACTGCAAAGGTGATTCACCAATGACTGCAAAAGTGATTGAACGTTTATTGTCAAATGATTTAGATTACTTAGAGTATATACTACTTTATAATCACCTTTAGTTTATTCAAAAAATAGCAATTAAATAAATATAAATTTATTTTTATAAAAAATATAAAATATTTATCCTTCGAACTCTTCACAAGTTACAACATATGTGATATTATTATAACTGTTATCATATAAAAAAATAAATTATTATAATATTTGAATTGATAAATTATAATATAACTTTAACACGAATTTAAAAAAATCAAAAAGTAAATATTTTACATAATACTTAAATACAAACAATAACACTGGGCAAATAAAAATAATAATGAACAATTATAAAATTATACTTACGTTTATCCCATCACTCACAAAGACTTAATTTTTTGTCATCATCTCTACCCATCATATGCAGAACACGTACTAACTCTTGTTCTATTGAGTGCGAAGCGAAATAAATTCCAGCGTTCCCTAATTATTATTATTATTATTATATATAAGCTCAACAGTTCAATAAGCTATGATCGGCACATTAGGAAAATTAGATATAATCTATTGTTTAATTATACAAAATTCTTAATCAAAGTGCATTTTGTCAGAGAAGAAAATAATATTTTATATTTTATATTTGAGATTCATACTTTTTTTTAAAAAATTAATCAAGTTAAATAAAATAAAATATATATTTTATTATTTCTTTTGGATTTATAGTGAAAAAATCTCTGAAAATAGAAAAGAAAAGTAGGGGCATGGAAATCTTGACGGATTGAAGAAGAAGTAAAGGTGTTGTATTGGGAAGACGAGAAGCTAAAATGCTTGTATGAAAACACATTATCTTTAACTTAATGAAAAATCCAAAAACTTGTTAAATAATTAAATAACCACATGATCTCTATTCTATAATAGTACTAACAAACTGGCAAATCCCTCAATAATTCAGTCTTCGCATGGAATTAAACCGCAAATTATTCAACAAAATTCCCACATCCCTTTCTCTTCTCACTTGTAATATAAATGTTTTGGACCATTCTAAGACTTCCTCGGTTTTAGTTTCGCAGATCATAGCCTCCACTGTATAAATATTTTCCTATTTTAACATTTAGAAAAATATATAAAATATGAATTTACGTTTAGAAATAGATCGAGGAAGATCAGTGGGAACGATAGTCTCTTTAACTCCAAAATTTACATCCTAAATATTAAATCCTAAACCGATAACATTGATAATCTTAACACAAATTTTGAATAAAAATATTTTCAAAGCTTAAAATAAATAAAAAATATAATTTAAACACTTATTTTTTAAAATAAACAAGGAGGAGGAGAAATAGGCAGTGAAGGAGGAGGAAGAGACTTAAACTTGGGGACACCAGAGCCGGTTCTCTCGGCAATCAGATCGGACAAGGACAAGCTGCCACCACGCTTGACGGCGGTGGAAGAAGGGATATCGTCGTCGGTGGTGCCGGAAGCGAGGTCATCAGAGAAAGAGGTGGTCATGAAGGGATGAGAGGAGAAACTAAAGGCGTTTTGAGAGTGGGAATTGTCGTAGGTATAAGAAGAAGCCATTAAGAGGGTGGGAAAAAGAGAGAGATGGGGACTGAAATAAGGCGGGGGGGGGGGGGGAAGAGAGATGGTTTCGGCTCTCATATCATACGTACGAAGGCTCTCTTTTTCCTCTTCCTCTTCCTCTTCCTCTTCCTCTTCCTCTTCCTAATCTTTAATTCCTTGGGGGGGGGGGGAAAGTTTAATGGAAGTTTGACCGTTGAAAACATGGTGGGATAGGCCCCTTTTGTTTGTAATAACTTGTTTTATTTTGGTCAAAGCCCGTGGGATTTTGAGGGGATGGCGGCTCAGTGTTCATCACCTAATCTGTTACTTTCATTATAGCTAAGCTCTCTGTTTCCCCCCTTCCCCTACTATCTAATTACCAAAAAGCTTACCATCATGGTTTTCAAAATCAGACCAGTTAGCGAACGGTCATGTTATCGGTTCATTGGTTTAATCGGTCGAATCGATCCGACCGATCGGAAGAACCGGACGACATCATAATTATTTAAAAAATTAAATAAAAATACAAAAAATATTTAATAAAAAATAATTTTTTATATCACAAGTCATATTCAAAGAAAGTCATAACATATATAAGTTAAAAACCATAAAATCAAGTGAAACAAAATGATTCAAATTAACTACAACATAATATTTAAGGTAAAACATATTAAATAATAAATATAATTATATAACTATAATTAAAAACTAAATTTGGGGTTAAAAAATCATAACAAAATGATATTGTTTGGTTTAATTTTTTTTAAAAACAATCTCACATGGTTAAGAAACATAGGAGAGCATCCCGAAAGTCTAAAGAGTACAAATATGAGAACAAAACAATCTCACATTGCTAAGAAACATAGAAACGCATCACAACTAACTTCTATAAATAATAGAGGTAATTTGGCATTCAAAATCATGGAGCCTTTTGGTGAGCATTGAGTGAACTATTCTTTCACTTCAATAAAGCTCGAATTTTAGGCTTCAATCGAGCTTCTAATTTTTTTTTTGAGTTCAAGTTTTAATATTATATTTCGAGTTTGAGTTGAACTTGATAATTTTTAACTTGTGAGTTTGAGTTGAGTTGAGTTTACTTTTAAAGTTTTCAAGTTCGAGTCGAGCTCAACAATACTCGAGTTCGACTTGGCTCGTTTAACAAACGACGTTGTTTGGTTTAATTTTTTAAAAAAAAAACAAAAATCCCGGTTTTTTCCGATTTTCAGCCGGTCCGGTTCAAACGGTTCAGCGGTTCTGGTCGGTTCACTAATAGCGGTTCAACCGATTTAGATTGAACCGGACTAAGTAACAGTTTCCGGTTGAACCGGTTGAACCGGCTGATCCGGTCCGATTTTCAAAACAGAGCTTACCATCTAAGGAAACAGTCACGGTAAACAACACTTATGATCCCTATAATTTTTTATTTATCTTATTTAAGTCATCAATTTTGAAAAAGTTACATT